ATAGAAACAACATGTAATCGGTGGTGCGCCAGATGCGCCATTATTTGTCAACCGCAGAAAGTGACGTGACGTAACAGCATCAAAAGCGTCTTTTTCAAGAACTTTAAAAAATATGTTTTCTATCTGTCTTCCCCCATTTCTCTCAGCATAATGATTTTATGAGGCAATTGTATGCACCATAAATTATGCGAAAAAAGTCTGATCATTTCTATACATTCTTCAAAAATCGAGTTCCCAACCCCATTACGCCTGACTTCGCTCCTGTAGGTCCGTCCAAGATTCTTAGGTCCGTCCTGGTCTGTAGGACCGAGGAGTACCTATGTACAGGTCTCACGGGTTTTAGCGGTAGGTCTTGCACCTAGAAGATTTAGTGTACTTCAGGCTATATCTTCGTCGTCTTAACCTGGCAGGCGGTGGGCCTCCCGGCCACCTTCCGCGTGGTGGTGGGGAGGGGGGGGGGGGGGCATTTTTTTTTGCTCCCCCCCCCCGTATCTCCGAAACTACTGGACGGATCCGGAAAATTCAAACGGCTTTCGATAGCCCTCTCAAATTTGTCGAAAGAAACCAAATTTCATTGACCTCGGGGTCACCGATGAGTGATGACGTCACAGGTCAGGTCAAAGATAAAATGTTTCACCGTTCACGGGGCTTCTAGGGAAAGCGCTATAACACCGAGTAAAACGCATTTTGTCGAAAATCAGCGATATGGCGTCAGTTGTCTAGTACATATGCTGCTATTAGAGGTCACTGGTCATACCAGGTCAGGTCACAGGTCAGGTCACCAAAGGTCACCAAGGGTCACCACATGAACCCAACTTTACTAAGGTTGTGCGATGAATGTTTTATGGCCAGTTTTTCATTTCCAACTCAATGGTGTTGGTTATGAGACCATCAGGTACGGTTAAGGTCACTTTCTGGTGGAGGTCAGGTCAAGGTCAGGTCAAAAAAGGTCAAATTTCAAAGTTGATATTTTTGCATAAAATGGGTATTGATTCGATGCAGCTTGTCACGGGGAGTCTAGTGGTGGTCTTTGTTTTGCGTTACGAAGTCTAGAATTGCTAAAAAATTGAGTTTGAAAATTTGACGTCATCAATTTTGAACAGTTTTTTCGCTATAACTTGGCCAAAAAGAGAGGTATCGATCTCAAAGTTGGTATGTAGATAGAAGGCGGTAGGGACTATCACATTTTCCGTTTTTTATAAATTCAAAAATCTTTTTGGATTTTTCGGCTATTATACTAAAAAAATATATTTTTTTTATTTTTGGGGGTCAAAATCCAAAAATTTAAAAAATCCAAGATGGCAGTTTTGTAGCCCTTTTGATTCCACACCGTTTATGTTTGAAATATTTTTCTGTATCTCTAAAGCTGTAGGCCTGACAGCTCTTCCCGCGAAACCTTTTTTTTGTCGAAAATGGTAGAAATGACGTCACGCTGACGTCATTAGCGGCCAACCTATCATAGCCTTTGGAAAAATTTTTGGTCACCACGTGCGCTAGCTACTCCCGGGAGGGTACTGAAAGTTTGGTGACGATCGGCGCAGCAGTTCTCGAGATATATCGAAAAAACTAAAGGGGGGCAAAAAATGCCCCCCCACCGCCTGGAAGGTTAAGCTTTTAAGTGTTGAAGATGCGATCGACTTGTTGGTTCACAAGCCGGCCACGATCGTGTAAAATTGCTTCATCGTAGATCGATTAGTTTCATAGATATAACCGGAAATGCAAAAGTGCAAAACCTACCGCTTAATTAACCCGCGCTCCGTAGGGGGAGGGCCGAAACGCCCTCCCCCCCCTGTCCTTTTCCGTCGATATCTCCTAAACGGCTAGAGATATCGCCACCAAACTTTTAGGACCCCTCCGGGCATCAATTTTACACATTGTGACCAATTTTTTTCCAGAAGCTATGATAGGTTGGCCACAAATGACGACAGAATGACGTCATGTTCTGCCATTTTCGACCGAAAAAAGACTTTCGCGAGAAGAGCTGTCAGGCCTACAGCTTTGAAGAAACAGAAAAATGATCCAAGACATAAAAGGTGTAGAATTAACAGGACTACAAAACTGCACTCTCGGATTTTGGAATTTTCTTGATTTGACCCCTAAAAATCAAAAAAGCAAATTTTTGGATATATTGGTAAAAAATCCAATAAGTTTTTCGAGTTTCGAAAAAACGGAATATATGTGATAGTACCTACCGTCTTCTATCCACATACCAAATTTCAGATCGATATCTCGTTTTTTGGCCAAATTATAGCGAAAAAGTTCAAAAATGATGACGTCAAATTTTCAAACTCAATTTTTGGCAATTCTAGACCACGTAGGGCAAAACAAAGACCACCATTGGACTCCCCGTGATGAGCTGCATCGAATCGATACCCATTTAATGCAAAAATATCAACTTTGAAATTTGACCTAATTTGACCTGACCTTGACCTGACCTTCACCAAAACGTGACCTAAGCTGGCCCCAGCCCCCAAAGGCCGCCTGACCCATATAATCGCATTTGTCATGTTAAATGGACTATAAAACATGTATCACACGACACTTTCATATTGTGACCCCCAGTGACCTGACCTCTGTGACCTGACCTGGTATCAGTGACCTCAGATAGCGAAGTATGTGTTTGACGAACAATGTACCGTCGATGGTTTTCAATAACTTACCAATTTACTCGATTTCACAACACATTTCTTGAAATGCCTGTGAACGGTGAAAATCCGACCTTTGACCTGACCTGTGACGTCATCGGTTTGACCTAGGTCAATGAAATTTGGTCACAAGGTAGTTCCCCGGTGGGGCTATCGAACGCCGTTTGAATTTTGAAAATCGGCTGTTAAATTTCCGAGATCTTGGGGGTGGGGCCGAAACGCCCCCCCCCCCCCCCCTACGGGTGGTAGGGTCCGCCGGTAGCCCTACGGGGCGCGGGTTAATCTCGCGAGAGCCGTACTATGTAGATTCCGGCAGACAACTGGGAGAACAGTGCCTATAGGAGCATACCCCTCCGATGTCGATGCGCGATGTCACAGCGAATGCTGTTCCGAACGGCGGCAGATGTGATGCGTGCCGTTTCATGTGGAAATGATGCCCTAACGTGGTCGCAGTGGCCCTTGGCCTGGACATATGTGTGCCTACGCCCTTCTGCCTACAGTCTACTCCTATGTATTAGCTGTGCCATGGGTAGGTAATCCCAGTGTATATTGAGTTATTACATGTCACACAGATCATATCATCGATCACTACATACAGCTCATAGACACCATAGATATTATGCTAGTGTATTTAGGAAGCAAACCTTGTTCTATAAATGTCTCATTAAAATGATCGCATTTCGACTGCTCACCAGTTTCTTTTGGACTATTCCATGCAGTGCTCATAGAAGTCGAATAATGACGGAACTATGGGAGCGATGAGGAAACTGGTTGGGATAAATGATTTTACTCAGCGAGATTTTATCGAAACAATGATCATGACAAACGACTTCTACGAGCACTGGGAAGAGTCCAAAAGAAAAGATACTGGTGAACAGTCCAAATGCGATCATTTCCCGCGCCCTGCTGGGGGGGGGGTGTTTGAACACCCCCCCTGTGGTTTTTCGCGAATATCTCAAAAACGGCGGCGCGGAGCGCCGCCGTTTTTGGTACACCTTATCATACATCAATTCTACACATGTTGTGAAAATTTCAGACCAAGGTCATTCAAGGTCAGGTCACCAGGTCACTTCAAGTGACCTCACCTCATAAAAACTTTCAATGTCTGTCATAGCTACACCGAGTGACCGATCGCTTTGAAACTTTCAGCGATTGCTAAGAGCAATAGCATGTACAAAATGTATATCTCAGAATTTTGATATCGATGACCTAAGGTCAGGTCAATTTTGCGACCTCCCCATTATAAGTCAATGGGAGAAAATTGAAATGCGCCTCTTTTGGATGAAAGACGTTATAAACACTCCCAACCACCGAATTACAAGTGGTTTAGACACACTGAACTTGAAAATGGTGTCCGTGACCCTTGTTTATGCCCTGAGGTCATCTTAGGTCACGAATGGTATCTAACAGTTTTTCGCAAATAACTTTTGATAGAGGCATGCTAGAGCGATGAAAACGCCTTAGATGTGTTCAGCTCGACGATACGGATCGACTGATATGCAACATGACCCTTTCCGGTCAGGTCATGACCTTGACCTGAGGTCAAATTTTCAAGTTGACCTTTCAAGGTCAAGTTACAGTTCATTCGATGTGTCTTGACGAGAGGAACACGATGCCGGTAAAAGTAAGCTCGTACAATGCTTGGGTCAAAAGTTATTGCAGAAAAACTGTTTTCGAAAAAATCGGCTATTTTTGCAGTTTTTGCCCCCTGCAGGCAAAACCGTTGACGTTAGGTCAAATCTGAGAGAATTACTCAGAAAGGGCGTTAATAGGGCTATCGAATGCGCTTTTCCGCGGCGCTGTAGCTCTATTGGTTCCCGAGTTATGCGTTGGCTTCTTGGAAATTTTCGACATTTGACCTGGAAATCGGCGAAATTTTGCCTTCAATGACCTCTGGTGACCTGACCTTTGACCTGACCAAAAAATTGACCGAAGTGATTTCGTCATCATTTTTTACGCTCTTTCGAACGCCGCCTTCCGCGTATCGCTACGTGGCCCAGGAGCCGAGTTACAAGGGGGGGGGGTGTTCAAACACCCCCCCCCCCCAGCAGGGCGTGGAAATCCAGGACCCCCAGCAGGGCGCGGGTTAATGAAACAGGTATTATTATGTATATGTTGAGTGTTATCCCAAGCAAAACGATAGAAGATATATCACTGGGCCTGCCCTGGCCCCTCCTGAATACCTACGTAAGTGGAGTCCAAGTGTGCTAAGTATCCTCAAAACACACCCTACTATATGGTTTACCCGCCGCCAGCCATCAGCAGTACACAAACACTGTCCCTGCAGCGAGGAATGTTGAACGTCGTCACATGTAAACAGATGCCCTCTGTGTACTCTGAGGGGCCGGCCAGTCGCACTGTACCGGTCAGTTGGTGGTGCAGTGGACCGCTGGTCGCTGGGGCTCAGTCCGCTGCCCGCTGGTCCAGTCGCTCCCCATCCACTCAGTGCTTTTTGTGTCTGACAACAGAAGAGCGCAATGGTCGGCCGCGGCTCGCCGCCGCTCTGGGCCGTGCTGCTTTGTCTCAGCGCGCGGCTCGTGACCGGCGACCAGGACCAGCAGCCCACGGCGCAGCTGAGCTTTACGCCCGACGAGCTGTGGAAGCTCATCGGGCAGGTGGTGAGGTCCGAGGTGCAGCTGATCTTCGAAAAACTGGACCTGGAGAGGCGGCTGGAAACGCTCGACTTCAGCGCTCAGGTGACGGGACTGGAGTCGAGCGTTGAAGCGCTAAATTCCCGGCTGAATGCGCTTGATGGCAGGGTGTATGCGACGGATTCCAGGCTGAACTCAAAAGGAGACACGCTTGACGCGAGAGTTGATGACCTGGCTTCGCAGTTGTACCGTTGTTTTCCTGAGCCGGATACCATCGCCGCTAGGCTGGACGAGCAAAATGCTTCGCTGGAAACATTTAACGCATCTTTGGAGGGCTGCCAAGCTCAGATGGCAGAATTGACGACGAAACTAGACCAGGAGCAGTCGAGTCTGGAGGACCTCGCCAAAAAGGTGGATCAGAATTCAATCAAGCTGAATGCGACAATCGGCTTACTGAACCAGTCTTTACACTCTGATGATATGAAGGGTAATCCAAACGACTGGCGTCCCCGTATCGAAGACCTAGCCGAAAACGTAAATAATATAGCCTCGCGCGTGAACAAGGTAACAGGTCAGGTGGCCGCCTACGCGCCTCAGCTGGAGCTCCTAACGACCAAATACGACATGCTACAGCTGACAGTAGATGCGGTCAATGCCGCACTGAACGCCAGCCAGGGTCAACCCGCCACCACGCTGCCCCGAGACTGCAGTGAGCTGCCAGCGGGCACCGCCAGCGGCATCCACCTGCTGCAGCCGGGCCTGGACCCGTCCGTGCCACCCACCCCGGCCTACTGCGACCTGGAGTCGGACGGCGGAGGATGGACCGTCATCCAGCGACGTGACGACATATTCATCCCGCGGGAGAACTTCTACCGCGACTGGCAGGACTACAAACGGGGCTTCGGCAAGCTTGACCGGGAGTTCTGGTGGGGCTTGGAGTCTCTGTGGAGGATGACCGGCTCGCGGGACCGCCGCTACCAGCTGCGGATCACGCTGGAGGACTTTGACGGCGAGAGAAGGCACGCGGTGTACGGCACGTTCAGGGTCTCCTCGGAGGCGGATGGGTACCGGCTGGCCGTGGATAACTACTCGGGGGACGCAGGGGACGCGCTCAAACGCCACAACGGTCTCCGATTCAGCACAAAGGACCGGGACAATGACCGGGACGGCCGAGGTTCCTGTGCCACAAGACACCGAGGGGCGTGGTGGTATGACTTGTGTTGGGATTCCCATTTGAATGGACAGCCACTGGTCGGAAATGACCGGTCGGAGCGTGGCATTTGCTGGCGGCAATGGAGGGGCTGGCACTACTCTCTGAAAGCGGCCGAGATGAAGATTCGACCGCAGGCATAGGCCAGGACTTCAATGTGTTATGGGGGCTTTGCGAGCAGCACTAATTATGACATAACTTCTTAATTGTAATTGTCTCGTAGCTTGAGTTTTCACGTAAGGGTACCCGCTCGAGTAAAAATTAATTGCGTCCTACCGCAACGCATTGCTGAGCTCAGAGCTGTATCCATTGTTTTGTTGTAACATAGGGGAGAGGCGGGAGAATTGGGACTTATTTCTCAGGCCATATTTACTGAAGTGTTATTTGAAAAGTATTGTAGCAAATCTGCTTTGTGCAGCACCAATAAAAGATAACCATTTCTCTGCAGCATACCATCATAAAAAACGAGTCTATGCAGTGGTGTGGTCATATGTGGAGAAAAACAAAACACTCGTTTTAGGGAGAATAGGGACACACGCAAGAGAAAAGGAACAGCCACGCCTAGGCTGAATTGGGACGCATACAAATGAGGTATTGGGACAACATTTTTATCTCGAATTACTTGTTTTTCTATGTGTAGGCAATCGATTGATAGTTGGAACTTTATTCACACCATCTGCTTCGTTTAACGCCGGGATTGTCTTTCACGATCACGATGTGCCCATAAAATGCACATTTTCTTGCAAAAGTAAGACTTTCTGGTCTTAGCTTCGATGTATGTGTGGCTAGGGATGCAGCTTCAACCCAATCCAAAACATGAAGCCTGAAGGCATAAAAACACATCTTTTTGCACCCCTTTACCATTCTCACCACTTTGTGACCCAATTCTCCCACAACAGCGCCATATCAAATAACGCATTTTTGTCATTTATCAGTTACAGAGCGTGTTCATGCAAACTAGCAGTTGCATAAAGACAGTGTTAAGCTAACATGGTAACATGTTGGAAAAAGATAGTCTGCCATATGCAACACACAGACAACTCAGAATAACACTCGAAAAAAACATTTTTTTTGGTGTTCAGCGGTCAGCCAGCACAGCCCAACCGACGATTACAAAAGGGTTTCTGAGGCTTCCCACGATACATAGAATCAAAAGGTAAAGGCAAAAACCGTGCAAAGATGCTGTCCATTTTTTCTTATTGACGTGTCCCTTATTCTCCTGCGTCCCAATTCTCCCGCCTCTCCCCTATATGTAATAAAGAAATTGTCATATCCTTCATGCATTTTGTTGGGGGATTTTCCAATAGGGGAAGATGGGGGAACACCGCCCTTTGAGGAACGTCGCCCACCGTCCCCGATATCAGAAATATAAGAAGGTCTAGGGCGACAGCTGACTGTCTTTTGGCAGCGTGACAACAGAAGTGCAGGTATGGGCAGTGAACCGCATTGGTTTAGGTGATTTGCGAGAAATTCCTAATTCTACGTTTCGTGAGTACGTTTTATACTTTTTCTAGCATAATAAGCAGAAGAAAACTTATCTTATTTGACAGACATTGGTCCTGAAATAGCATTTTTTTTTGCCATAGGTAATTAGGACTCATCCAAGCATTACGTGCTCCTGCTCGAGCGAAAATTGGATTGTCGCATCAATTTTACATACATATCAACCAATTGGTTTATTGTAGTGTCGTTCATAATTGCATTATTCCACATTTAGTAAATGTCTACATTTTTCGGGGTAACACCTCAACATTAGGCATAGATGACTTGAAAAATGTTAATCGATGTTTTGCCCTTATTTTACGATGATCAGCTATCTTTGAAACTGGGTATAGGTCATTCTTGTTTACGAGCATCTGTACACATTTGGTGCACTTTAGGTTCAGATTGGGTCAAATAAGGTTCATTGTGGCCGTTTTCACGACGGAACTTTCGCAGAGGAACTTATTTGATACCTAAAAAGTACCTACCCTTAGAGGCCTTAACATCCCTCAAACTGAAATATTTTATGTTCAAAATAATTTTAGAAGTTTAAATCCGGGCATTTTTTGCCCTAAAATCACTTATTTATTTACAAGCACAGCAATTTTTGGTTCTAGTAGCCCACCTTTCGACTATGAGGTATTAAATCAGCGTGGCAACTTGCTCCCTCTTTGCTCCCTCGGGTATCTAATTCCGGAATTCTTAAAAACAAGGAAAGTATATATCGAGTTCTCTTTTATACCTATTCAGTTATGTTTTAATGGTGATTAAAATATGACAAATTTTTTAATTACATTTCATATAAGAAAACACGCAAAACAATGAAACAAAAATAACTACGGCAGATAATTACCTTCAGGTATCTAATTCCGACCAATCAGCACCTCAGTAGGATATGACGTCATACAAGAATGGTGGTGAAGGCCGTTTGCAGTCTCGGCCGGTAGGTCACGTGACCGCCGGGCGCCTCGGGTCACGCGGCGGTCGGGAGTCGGACGCGGGGCGTGGTCGCGGGCGGACGCGCGGGGCATCATGCTTTGCTTTGCTTGCTTTGTCAACTTCATATAACTTACTATCGCATTCGTGTGAAAGCCAAACACTGCTCAGTGCCTTTAGAAATTGAGTTTTGGAAAGCTCAAGTCCCTATAGCTCCTCAGGTCGGCAACAGTTGAAGCCTCATCTGCACCCATGTGAAAAAAACGAGGGTAAGGAACCTTGTGTTGCTTTTTCTTTTACCGTCATAATTATCTCAAACCATCACAATTTTGAGTTGCCACATTGTCTGCTTCACTACATTCGTGTAAAACTTGGGTGAAGGCTGGTGGCTCAAAGAAAGGTGAAGATATTTCTTTAAGTGCCTAATCCGTGAAATTGAAATATCCCGGCTTTACAAATCTACACTTTTCATTTTCTCCACGATACATTTTTTAAAATTGTTTAAATTTTATCTACATTTGTTAAAATCGGGGCTTTGGTTTTGTGTAAACTAGATCATAAAGTTTACTATAGATTTGTGTAACCTGATGGCTGAAGAAAATAGTAATTTTGCTAGAATGATGTGCGGAAATTTGTTGCTTTCCAAATCAAATTACTCATACCTATATTTCATTCAAAATTAGGAGGCATTATTACTGTTTTTTTCTTGTAACCAGGGCTGGTAAAGTGTTATGTCCTATTGACGTCGTCGGGGACACAGTACCAGTAAAAGTTCAAGTACCCGGGGTCAAAATTACCACATTTAGTAAACTTTTACAGTAATAAATAACTTTCAAATAAAGCAGAAACTAAACGCAAGTAAAAGATATTGAATCCACAACGTATATCCCCTTTAACAAGGACATAAAAAGCCCCTATACCTAATACATACCTACAACGTGGTTATGAACAAGTAGTAGCCACAACTCACTTCCTTAACAGCAAAACTACCGTCGACAGTTGCTAACGAAAACTAGATCAAACTAGATGATCAAACACATACTAACAGACGCTTAGACACCGACCCCGCTGTCGGCTGTGCTATTTCAAGCGGGGTTGATTGACGACCAGTTGTAGCCAGCTATACGACTAGACAAACGACTAGATTCGGAACCGGGGTATAACATGCGGGGTCGATAGTTTCTAGCCGTCGTCGTTGTGAGCTACCGATACAATAGCGACACCTATTGCATCTATTCGACGATCGTAGCGCCCCCTACCCTTTCCGGGTTCTTCGTCTGTTCGCTACCCGGTGACCGAGTGATGCCGTGACATTTAATTAACAAACTGGAGATTTCGAAGCGCGAGTCTGATAAGCAATTTAGTACAAATGACTGCTCGTAAAAAAAAATAATATAGAAATGAAACCTAATGAAACGCGCATCGTAGTTGCATGCAGCCTGCATACATGAATCGTAAAAAGGTCGGGGTCATTTTTCGCTCTCATTTTTTGGTCGGGGACGCAATTTGCTTTTTTACCAGCCCTGCTTGTAACATGAACTGAGTTTGGGTACGGTGCTCCGGAAACGTTGTGGAACTTTAAGCTAGCTAGAGCAGTTTCCATAAAAATTGTTTAGATATAGTTGACATGGCTTGTTGACAACTCTTTTGCTGTTTCTAAAAAAAGTGAAAAAATATTTTCCTGCATTAAGCACACAAGGCATGTTATTCTCATAAGCTATCGAATGTGTGTGTGTGTTTTTTAAGCTGTTTTTTTTTAAAGCTTTTAAGCTGTAACTTCAGTTACTTCACTTTAGAACATATTGCCCAGAATGCGTCACTGATCATGAGCTGGTATATCATATCATATGTAGCAAATACATAAATGAGAATAGTGTGTCATGAATTTTTGTGCATGCTTCTGGATCACCTGTAATTACATCAAAGGCTCGGCTCAAGAGTGTCCTGCCGACCAGCTTATGCCCAACCCTTTCTGTCCGCAGAACGTCGCCTGCGACTCCCGCACGCCGTTTGCCCCGGCCGTCCGTACTGGTCTTCGCGCTGCGAGCCGCGCTGGAGTTCGCAGCGGCGTCGTGGAGCTCCCATCGGGACGGCGTGTGATGCCCGCGTCGAGCTTATAAGCCGTGAGCTTCGATTGGCGGCTCACGCGGTCACCAGCTGTATGTACAGCCTCGGCCCCGACGACCCCGCTAATGGCCGAGACCGGCATACCCCCGGCATGGGTCCGCTGTCCGGCGCAGCGCTGGCCGCCCGCATGCTATGCTACTTTTGGCTGTATCGCTGCCCAGCGGGAGCGCGCTCCACGCTCGGAAGAGGTACACGTTGCGACCCGACTGAGGACTGCAACCGGATGGTGACACGTCGGCCTCTGCGCCCTGGCCGGGGCAGGCGTGACCGACGTCACAGTGGAGGAACGCCCAAACAAGACCAGCCCACCGTCGGAGCATCATGGAAATATCATGTTCTGCCTGGACGTCGGACCCGGCGGCCGCAGTGCACGTGCACACGTGCGGAGAGGGGCGCTGGAGGCTACTCTGGAGCTTCTGCCATTCCGCGGCGCGACTGCTGGCAAAACGGCGGCGATTGAGGCGGTTGGGAACAGCTGCAGCAATGGTGATGGCGGTGATGGCGACATGGCGGTTTGGGACTTCATCTCAGCGCGGCCGCCGCCCAGGCGCCGCTGCGCCCGGCTGCTCAGCCACCTACCGGATGGCGGGGTGGCCCTTACGGCCCTCACGCCCGTTCGGTCTGCGGCCACGTTGTGGGGTGGCGGTCGCGGGGTTAGCGGCGTTGGACTTCGTCCTTTATCCAGACTGCACCGTACCATCTGAACGGATGGATCTGCCAAGAAAGATGACATCCAAGGCGGCTATGAGGCGATCACAAAGCTTCACCAAGAGCTTCTCCTTCATGGGGCCGGCCGGCCGTTAAGTCGCAACACCGGCTGCCGAGTGCCAACAGCTGCGTGCGCTGGCGCCGACGCGTTGTGGGCCGCGCTGCTGACGCCCAAGCTGCGATATCAACCATCTATGAATAAGTGGCATCGGTGGCGGCTTGTCAGTTGTTAACGTGCCTTAACAGACGTTGCGAATAGCCCGCGTTGGAATCGCATGGTTGGGAACACAACGCAAGTAAAAATGGGCTTCCTTGATGAACCTACTTTTTAAGCATTGTAGCCTTTGTAATTTTGGATGTTTTGCTGTAGATATTATTTTCTACATATATACTATATAGGCACTCACGTGCTAATGCAATTGAACCATGGTAAAGACAATGATAAATGAACTAAGAGCTGACATGCCCCATGCTTTGTGTGTGTATGTGTGTGTGTGTGTGTGTGTGTGTGTGTTTTTTTTTTGGCGAGTCGATAAAAGTGGTTTTGGACACTGGATGAGTTTTTAGGGGTGTGGTGAGGGGGGATGTAATTCCACAGACCTTCTGTCAGATTCACCAATGCAGTAGGTCTGTGCGGTGTTTAGTTATCGGAGCATTCTTTGAAAGTCGTGAATAGGGCCACCGAGTACCTAAAGCCGTGATATTCCCCCACAAAAACTTCTTTTAAATAACCGGGGATGGGTACATGAGCAGAGTAAATGCTATTACGAACGCCTATCACAATGCTGAGCGAATAGGAAAATCCATAGATGGAGAATTGTGCCGCGTTACGGGTGCTCGGGCGCAGCCAATCCACCGTTACCCCAGCGGTGACCTTGACCCGCATCGTCTGTCTCGGCTCCAAAGCCAAACCGGCGTGGAATTGGGAGCGTTCGAGCACTCATGGTCCAGCGCAATTCTCCACCTAAATCCATTCCTGATACACATTTGCTTGCTCATAGTCATGTAACCCCGGTAAATTCACCCAACTTTCATATTGGTCGCTCCATAGACAGATGGCCACAGAGATCAACTTAAAAGGCCATTGTTGCATTCATTTAGTGGAGATCATTAAAGAGCCGTGACAGGCCACAAGTCGCGTGACATCATACGTGTAACGACCAATGACGTCGGCCTGCAAAACCCAATGGAAGCGGCTAGCAGCGTGCAATAAAACAGGGCGCTGCTTTCTAAATGTCTGTCGTGCGCCATAAATGAATATATTCTTTGTAGCCTGGCAACTCAGTATCTTTTTTTAACTATTGTACTAGTATTTAATAATTTCATAATTTTATAATTGTGCTTACGCTTTATGTTGATATTAGTGATAAATCCTTAGATAAAGTAAATCGATGTGATATTTAATGGAAAAATAGCAAACTAACGCACCATTCATTCGAAAGCTGGGGAACCTACTAAAAAGAACTACTAAAATTCCTGAGGAACCAAAGGATCAAATGGGGATTAAATAGATGCCTGCTATTCCGTCGTGAAAACGGCCTGTGTTTCTTAAAAATTATCAGTTTGAGTTGCACAGATGCTTATACCTGATTTTCAAGTCATCAGACATTGTTTTCGATAAATACACTGAAATACATTCATGTTATGAGGGTATTTGTTGTAAAAGAGATTTAGAGCACATTTGGTCAAGTCATTGGTGCATTCGCCGGATAACCCGTCGTGAAAACGGCTATTACGTCATACGGCTATTACATACCTACCTACCTACCGGTAGGTACAGTTACTCGTATGTCGATCTCTTAACACAACCAAACCGCTTTGAAGCACTTTGATGGTGACGCGACATATTTACACTAAAAATAAGGTAAGCTTAAAAAAACGTATAAGGTGGCGAGGAATGTTCTCAGGTGGACCAAAGGTGCCCAGATCCGTTTTCAGGATGCACACCTGATGGTTTTGGTCGACAATACCTAAATGAAGAAAATGCTCGAAATACTGAGGATGGCATATACTGGTGCCGAGGACTGCGGAGCTCGGTGTGGGGTTTTGTCTCACTTTTAATTAATAGTATGACCTGCAACCGCAATCGTCTATTAACATCTGTCTGGAAATTTGATCTGGCAATGATAACATATAGGTAGGGTAGACCGGGGCAAGTCGCCCCGCCGAGGTAAAACGCCTCACCGATGTTTCTCGGAACTGGCAGGGTTCTGGGGAAACATCATCTCTTCTATAAAACGTGCACTATATGATCATTATATGAGCAGACTGGAAAGAAATTGTGATGACTCTTTCGGGAGATGTAGCTAAAAATGTGTTTTTTGAGTGATTTTTATGTTTTGTTGTCAGATTATGAATCATGGCGTTCTTTTATGGTCCACATTAGGTTAACGACTTTTATGTATTTTGAACAACTATTGTCTGACGCTTATCATGCCGGGTTGGTTCGTGTTAAATTATGTCTTACTGGAGTGCAAGGCGTTGTTCTCTGACCGAACTACGTGATGGGGTAAAACGCCCCAGTAGGTCGCGGGGCAAAAAGCCCCTGGGGCGTTTTACCTCTTGTGTTGTTGGGGCTACCCACTTTCTAATGTTCGGTAGCTGGCGAACAGTAAGCTTCTATGCCTTTATGTGTATTTTTCTCAGCAACTGGATGGCAAAGGAAGTATTTTGTTAACATTTGCATTGCAATAATTTATTATTTGGTCTTATGAGGTAGGTGAAAAACCTGCTCATACAACAGTGTCATATGCTGAGCACCTGAAAGGATGAAATGTGCTAACTTCAGTGCCGTGCCTCCAGAGGTCTAACGGACCTCTCACATAAGATTTAGCCAACTACCATGTTAAATCTTTAATCTAAGGTATGGGGCTACTTGCCCCAGGCCGTGGGGCGTTTTGCCCTGGGGTTGGGGCAAAATGCCCCATTTGCAGTTGCTTCACAAATCACTTCCTAGCTTGGAGTCCGATCATAAGTGAATCAATTTGAGGGGTGCAATTTAAAGTAAAATGTCCAAAGAACGCATTGAGCACAAATTTGGCCTTTCAGGTGATGTGGGACAAAATTTATGTAGCAAAATAAATTATCTGGGGCGTCTTGCCCCAGGCTACCCTACCTAAATCTGTTGGGCAAATATTTTCTTCTTTATCATACGCTACCTTTCAAAGTTCATACTTCATCCTCTGTTCATACCTATCATAGGATGATAACCATTAACCAACATAACAAAGGCATATGAATTATGGAAGCCAAGTTGAAGTCGTTATTGTTATATTTGCCGCCGCCGTGGGAGCCTTTTTGGAGACGTGATGCGCTATATAGGCATATGCTCCCACTGCCCTAGCCATATTGGGTTCTATGGAGGGACAGTGGGGCAGTGTCTCCGACCGTCTCCATCCCCTGTCCGTTCCTGTGAAGAAGGAGCCGACGCAGGTCGACACTCCGTGTCCCCGGGGTGGCGGGTGGACCCGCCGGTGGCGGCGCCGCGCCGCGCCGGTCGCCGCAGAGACAGCGCCTCCCGTCAGTCGGGCCGGACCCGTGAGAAGGCGAGGAGGTGTCCGTGAGGAGCCGGGGATCCGGTCACTATCTGCGCTGTGAACTCCGGGAGAGGCCGTACCACTGCGATAGCCAAGGTGAGGGGCGTCGGCAATCTGCCACGGGTCCGGGTGTGGGGGCGGAAATCTGTTTCAGATTAGATACCTATACATCCTCGCAGGTCGGCGAGGCAGCACGGTGGAGCGGAGTTCGCAGCATCGTCAGGAGACCGCCAATCTGTCTCACGACTATGTTGATTGCCTAAGTGGTCCCGCATTGACTCTGTTTGTAGCAAGATTTTTTTCGAATATTGATTTTAAATCATTGGGATATGCTTGTTGTCTTTGTATAGCTGTCCTTGTTGCCTTTGTTGTCTTTTTAAATCATTGGGATACCTATGCTTGTTGTCTTTGTATAGCTGCAAAATGGATGAAAAGAGAAAGAATTAGCGAGATATGGCACTTAAGTTTATTCAGAGCAAACAAAAGGTCAAGGTACTGGGTCAAAGTACGATGCATTTTTTTTTTTTTTTTAAATGATGCAGTGAGCTAGTGACAATATAAATCCGGGAAATTATACCTACTAAAACCGTATCAGTCAATGTGATCAATGTGGTCATAGGTTTCTAGTTGAAATAAGATGGAATAGTAACCTGTCCTTTTGCGAAGACAAAAAAAAAGATCAAGGGAATTTTTGATGTGTTTATTTTTTTAGGGGGTATGAGCACTTTAAGTTATGAGCAAAAAGTTAATTTTCCATCTTACTTCAATTCAATTAATTTTATTTCAATTTCAATTCAAATCACCTAATCATGCTAAAAAAAAACGTTCGCACCATTCAAACTGGTCTTAGGTTTGTTAAAATAGTAATTCAGCTTAAAGGGACCCTCCCACCTTCAAAAAAGTTAATGAATTGGCATGAAAGTGATGCCGCTCGGTTCAGAAAGAGCACAAATGAATATCTACCAAATTTCATCGAAAAATATTCACCGGTTTTCAAGATATTAGACTTTTACTTTTGTTTACTTTTTGGGATCTCCGCTGTTCCTAGCGACTTTATTTAAAAGTGCGGCATTTGTTGCGCGCAAAGCAGCATATACCACCGCGTGCTGCCAAACGTTTTAGTAAAAGATTTAAAAATCGTTAGATCTCCGCTGACGTCACAAATTCTAAGGGGGCATACCAATGCATTAGCCCCTTAGAATCCGAAAACTGCAAGTTTGAAATTCCATATCTCCGAATTAAAGCATTTTTCGATGTTGTGAATGCCCAAACCGGTATTTTCAGGCCATGGCCACCAATTTGGCTATCTCAACTCAAAACTAATGTTAAGGTGGGAGGGTCCCTTTAAAGGGACCCTCCCACCTTAACATTAGATTTGAGTTGAGATAGCCAAAATGGGGTCCCTGGCTCACAATTACCGGTTTCGGCACTCACAACATCGAGAAATGCCTTAAATCGGAAATATTCAATTTCAAAATTGCAGCATTTTGATTCAGAGGGGCTGATGCATAGGAATACCCCTCTGAATGTGTGACGTCAGCGCAGATATCTAACGATTTTTAAATGTTTGACCAAAACGTTTTGTAGCACGCGGTGGTATATGCTGCTTTGCGCGCAACAAATGCCGCACTTTCAAATAAAGTCGCTAGGAACAGCGGAGATCCCAAAAAGTGAACAAAAGTGAAAGTCTAATATCTTGAAAACCGGTGAATATTTTTCGATGAAATTTGGTAGATATTTGTTTTTGCTCTTTCTGAACCGAGCGACATCACTTTCATGCCAATTCATTAACTTTTTTGAAGGTGGGAGGGTCCCTTTAAGGCACAACGAGGAGTTCGAGGACAGGCATACCATGGCTTCTTGAGCTCGATATTGTCCATAACACAACTTGCAAGTAATAGGCTCAATAGGTTTTTTTGTGAAGAAGATATATTATATGCTTGCGCATCATATATCTATCTTCTATATATTATCGGAAGCGCCATTGAACGTTCAACACCGGAGTGATTTCGATGTGAAGCAGTGATAGAAAAAAAGGAGATGATGGGTGAGCATCATTTGGCACGGTTTTAGTGTTCAAGCCACCATTCAGGAATTGGTATGTTAATAGCTGGTTTGCACAAGCTCTTTATGCATAGCGCGTTTCCCCTGACATCTCGGGGGACGCTGTCAGATGATCCTGCGACCTCGCCCTGCGGCGATTTGCTACAGACGGTGCCGAAGTGACCTCGCCGCGGCGGTGAAGCGCCGAGACCGCAGTATACGACACACACTTCGGCGTGGTGGAGACTGAGGAGTGCGTTGATCCGCAAGGTGGACCTGGGACTCGGATAGAGGATGGATTGAAGGACCGATGCGCCGCCTGACGAACTGCCTACATGCTATTTGTATTTGTATTTGTATTTACGATCGTGGGCGATCCACACATGGCGCACGTGCCGCCAGCGATTGGGGGGCTCGTCGTCGCCGACACGACTTTGTGCCGAACATATCTGCGCCGATCTCCCAATGGTCATACGTGCGTCGCAGTCTCAGAGAGACGCCCACAGCGTCAGCCAGATGCAGTTGCCAGCGGAGCAGCTTAGCGGGAGGATTAGCCCACGTAATCGGCTTTCATCCCACCGCCGACTGATAGGATCGGACTCTGATCTCGGGCTGGACTGTAACTGAAACATAATTAACACAGTTCCGGGACCACACGTGGAATCGATAGGTACGCACCTTTTATGAACAGTCTGAGCTGGGATTACAGAACGGCGGCATGGAAGAGATGAGTTTGGGTTTGGGTGCTCGGCCCGCGGTCATCGACGTCCATCCGGTGGCTTACGGAGTGAGCGGGATCGTTTGTACTCTGTTTCCACATCATATTATTTTTTTACTGTGAAGCACCTCACCGTTCAGGCTCATTTCAAACCACGCCAGAAAAAGCCTCAAAGCGGCTACCAAACTCAGCGGCGAGCTCAGGGTGGGCGGAGGTGGGGCCCGGTGGTGGCGACACTCGCTGTCAGATAAACTTACATGTGTGGTGCAGTTCCCAGGGTTGAGGCCCTTTTCCCGGTAGCCAATCTCGCGCCGCTGCTGAGCCGGGGACTCGCAGCTGCTCGCCATGCGGCGTCAGCAGCGTTATACGCCGGAGAGTGAGCCGAGCTCCGCGCCAACGGGCTGCTGAGAGGGACGAGACATGTGACTGCAGATCTATGGGCTGTTTACTGGCGCCACAGCATGCTTCACGAGCCATACACACATCCGTTTATACAGCAGAGTCGCTGCTCTGTCCACATTGCAAAGATTCACGGCAAACTGTGCCTAATACAGCGGACGATGCAATCGTGATCTAGTTGTCAGCGCTTTATTGTTCCTCGGCCACCCGGTGTCTGACCACATAACCGTTTTACAGTCTGATCCAATCTGGCTGCTCGGCGACCTCATTTGCACCCCGCTGATTTGAGCCGACCCCCGCCGTACTGGCGAGATTGCGGCCCCCGCGGCCCCGGAAACTGGAGCCGTAAGGCCGCTCCCCGAAGTCCACCTGCTGCCTGTGCCCAGTCAGTGGCGGGCTACACCACTACCGACACAGAGCTGAGAGCATGCTGCAGGTGCATGCCGTCGATTTGCTCGTTATAGGTAGTGCGCTGCGGAGGCTGAGTGGGCAGTATATCGTGTCCTGCTGCGAATGGTTTACATACGAAATATACGAGTTTCTTTCGCACCTTACGATGCAGGAGACCCGATTGCCTCTGAGGGTCTCTGATGAGCCATGGTTTGTCACCGGGCACGTCATCCCGAGGTAGCTACGGATTGTGACTCACCAGTGTTCTAAAATTGGATTTTGGTTGGGTGTGACGATGATGATAAAAAAATCTAGGATGAAAAAAAAACAAGTGAAAACCTATATCACTTTCGCAATAAAGGCGTAACGCTACGCTGGCTGATAATAAAAGAACATACCATTCCTTACCACCAAAACTAACCGAAAAAGACGATGCAAATAGGTAAGGGTGATATACGGCAGAATTATAACTTTAGCATCTGATCGCCAAGTGTTTCGAAATCCGTCCCATTTTATCCCAACCTTTGTGTTTGATCGAGACTAATGAAGTTAAGAATCACCCTTGTCTCTTATACAGCTAAGAATGAATACCTACTTCAACCAGTGAAATTTCATTTTCCTCACAAGTCAAAATGCATTGTCACAATTGAATGACTGTCCAGTGGCCATCCTTCTCCTAGCCTTAAATCAATGCCTTCCTTTCCGTTTCAGATGCAGACAGCAGATATTACCGTCAGCATCTGCTAAGTTCCTACTCATGCTTACTGGCACGGATCCAGGACGGTCCTTCTGCCTGCATATTTCTCCTAAAGAAAATCATCCGCGGACCTCCATCCTCGCGACGCCAGTCGCCATCATGCGAGCGAACTAGGTCTTTAAGAAGCAGAAGATGCAATGATTCTGTTGAAATCTGTTGTCATATCTTAAGGAGGGTGGGGGAGGGGCGGGTGAGGGAGCTCTCTCTATATGCAGGCTTTGGTACTAGTGCCATGTGGAGAAGTTTTCTTTCTTTTTTAAGCAAAGGAATTGGGAAGGAACCTGTCTTTGCCGTTGCAAAGGGTATCATTCTGTCGTCCTGTATTATTGATTTAGTGCAGAGTTGACTCAGACTGTGTAATGCGTGAGGCGTGGTCATCACTGTGACACTGTCAGACAAAATTTTAGGTAATCATGATACCCTGATGGGCAGTTTGTTGACGTAACTGATCGCTATGAAACCGGAAACCGTATAGCTCATGGGTTCTGGCCTCTGGGACGTTTTGCGCCTACAATATGGCAGCACCGCTTCCAAGATTACTGTATATTTGAGATAATATGCGGCAATATAAGTATGTAGTTTTCGTTCGCATCTGATCTGGTAATATTCGTACAGTGTACGCAGTATAGCTTTGAGCTTTCCATTTTCAACAGATATGACAATGGCCGGATGATACTGGAAATGGTGCCTTTGCTCTGAGCACACGGAACGGGACGCAGTATTGAGTATCCAATTGCAGTCGCACTATGCAGCATGACATACGCCGGAAATCTCCCGGCCCGAACGCCG